GGCAACACTTTGTGGGTTTTTCCCTCTTTTTCTAGCCAGTAATATTGCATTCCTTCGCTGCATAAGCATTTATTCTATAGAGCTCTGGGCTTCATCCTCACACTTGGCCAGTCTGTTGATTGGTATGCACCTGCTCACTAATGCTTCCCCACTGTCCTGGACCTGCCCTCTGTTGGGATCTCTGGTGTTTCCTCCTGACTATGGATGTCGGCCAGGCGGCTGGACCATGCCGCCTCTAAACTGTGTCTCACAGGAAGTCTCTCAGCACTGGCTGTCACGTGTCCCCAAAGCCCGAGTTCACCCTGCCAGCTCCGATCTCACTGTGATTTTAACCTGCAGTCCCCCATTTGGACTGATTCCTGCTCCGCTGTTCCTGTTCCCTATATGGTCGTGTTACTGCTTTTAGAGCAACGTCTAAAGGCGATTCCACATAAACGTCAACCTTACAGGAACTGAACTGTTTTTAAAACGTTCCCTTCCTATTTGTTATTTCATAGAAATTAACTATACAGGCATTAGGCTTCTACGGTCGGTGTACTGGTCACATCCATGACATAATGTTCTATCCAGAAAGCAAGATATTTTTTTCCCCCAAAATTTTTTTTCCCCTAGATCTATAGTTGTTCAAGTCTTTTCATGTCACACATATAGTGCTTTTGTACAGTTCATACAAAATCTCTTCCTTAAGTATGCCATTTGATATTACATCTATAGCTCTGATAAATTGTTGTGTACTTCTAACATGTAAATTCATTTATGCGTTTTGAGGATTTGTCTATATTCAGACCAAAAGGTGAAAGGAGACGCAATTTGTGTCTTTGCAAAGCTTGTCCATTCTCTGAGGCATTTTGTTTGCCAGTGTGAATCAAAATGCCACATCCTTAATGAGGGAATAGCCCATAAAATATGGTATCTCAGGTTGAGATTTGTGTTAAAGGTTTTTGGCCATTGCAGCTCATCCTTATGGACCAGAGTTGGTTTGTTGCAAAGCATTATGGGTTAAAATTGTGCTGGAAATATGGGATGGTTACCATGGCAGCCACTGTCCTGCCTCTGCCCATGTGCCGTCTAGTACCTTGCAGGTGGGGAATTGGAGTTGCCTATAAATAGTTTTTTCCTCTGATTTCTCTCCGTTGTCCTGAAACACTCCGTCTGCATCCTATTTGTTCAGTGTTTATATCCCCATTTTCTCAAAATGGCTTTACATTAAAATCATAATTTAGAAGTTTAAAAAGCTGGTTGCTCTTCCTAATTTAGTTCTGTCCCAGTCACCTGAAGTCCCAGGAGGAGACTGGCTGTTTGAATGCTGTGAATGCGGTGGTGGATCTAGCTTGAGCTCAAAGCAGCCGCTGTCCTCCGTCGACACCATTTGTGTTGGTGCTGTAGTCCGGTCCGGAGGCCCCTCTGGTATGCCTCTGTTGTGGGCAGCCTTGTTCACTATCCTGAAATACTCCCTCCTGGTGAGACCCATGCACACCTGGTCCAGGCGCAAGCCCGCAGCCTCAGGAGTGTTCATCTTAAGTGAATAATCGCTGAATTCAGCATCGCCAGTTCGGCCAGCCGGAGTGCACTGTTTATTTCCACTTTGCCCTAGATTATCATGACACGGCGCCATAAAACCTTCCTGTCGAGTCCCAAAGGTTCCTGAGCCGAATTCTTGCCGTCAGGTCGTGCTGCTGAAGCTCCGTGTCCGAAGCAGCGGTCTGCCCACACGGTTCAGAGCGCTGATTTCCCAGAAGGTCCCTGATAGCTTGGTAATGGCCTTGCCAGTTTGTCTGTTGTGACCACAGAGCAGTTGTGCCAGATGTCTATTCCAACAGATCAGGTTTTCACTTGTTCTGTCTAGCCGGTGTATGTGTGTCTGTGAGCTCTGTTATAGATAGTGTCTCTGTATGTATATAGGATGTATAACATAAAGCCTTGAGTGGTGGTATTTGCAGGCACGAAATGAATGCTCAGGCTTTCGAGCTGTTTCACAACAGTCCTGGGCTTGTTGATGTCCCAGTGGCTCACAGCGAGTCCCGTTCCCCACTGTACTTCTGGAATTTGGCTTTTCATTATGCTGAGGGATTGACACCCCATGGCTCCCTGTCAGTTTCCCTTGGTTGCCCTTTATTTTCCAGGAGTTGTTTTTATCTGCCCTTTTTAATAATCTCATACACAGATGAGGTTTGAACATTTTGTACTTCACATTCATAGGGGCCTCACATTTAATTCTGCTGTATGGCGTGCAGTTGAGCCTCCAAGTCACTGGTTTCCTGGAGGTAGACGCAATCAATTTCTTCCAGTTTTTTTTTTGTCTCACTGACAGAAGTCTGTTTGATTCCTTCTGTAAAATACAACTCATAACCCTTTGACAATGCACTACAGAAAATAAATTTGGGAATTCAACAAGACTATTAACATTTAAATGAGCTTTAATTTCAGCATCCTTGATTAAATGCCAAATCGTCAGTGCGGTTATTTTAAAAAGGTTTTCCCTTTCATGTAAATGTCAGATTTAACCGATTGGCTACAGTAATAGTATTTCTGTTATGTTATGCCCTTACTTGTTTCTTGAATTTTCTTAGCTCATTTTGTAGCTGTTATCTTAAAATGGACCAGTTTTATACTTGAGAGACTCCGTGGAATCCTGTGTTTCTTGGTCAGGCCACGGGCTTGAGACTGGCATGTGCCGAGACCAGGCATTCGCTCATGGCGGCCGTGCATGGGGGTTGATGGCTGGTAGCTCAGACCATGGTGTAGAATGCTCAAAAATGGATATTTTTGTCATTAAATGGATTATATCAGAGCAAAGTGCAGCAATTTTTTGTGAAGAAAAGCATTTGGTTTTGAGGTGTGTTGTGTTGCCGTTTTGCACGTGAACATTTTCTGCAGACGGATTTCGTATGGAGCTTCTTGTTCAGCAGCAGAGTCCTTTAGTGCATCTTTTCTCCGCTTAGCTCCTTTTTTGGTTATTTAACATGGTATGACGGTCTCTGCTGTTGTCCTCCAGAGCTTGGGTGTGTTGTGTTTGCTCTTTCACAGCTCTGATCCACACCACATGCATGATTCTGGTCCTGCCAAACGTGCACTGGCTGCAATTCGAATGCCTGCAGGGCATCCGCTGGTTAGGTCGTGTTGGTAAAGTCACTCTTGTTCCAAGAGTAGAGTTTCGTCAGGGCCTTGTCTATTGAGAATTTACTCATGGTTGAACCCCAATCTGTTACCTTTCAAGCGGTGTGTTGAAACAGGGTCGTGTAAAACACCCAGTGAGGAGGGTGACAGTAGCCAGAGAGGGCACCTTGGACCGAGGTGTAATGACCGCAGGCGCGTGTACTCGACTGACTGGGTAACAAAGCTTGGCATTCATGGCCTGGTTTACTTTGGAGCTAGGGCGTAACATTGGATGACATCTTAATGAGTTTTAACCCTCAGCCAAGCACTGTGGTCTGCGGGGGGTCTCTTTGTTAGTGAGACTGTCCTGGTGGGAAGAGCAGAACAGAACAGGGCCCTGGTACTCTGCTTGCCTCAATTGGCAGTTTTCCACTGGCATACAGAAACCTGAGCCATAATGTGAAGTCAAACAAGTTAAAATACGGTTCCTGTTCACTTTGGATTTCTACTGTACTGGGGTCGGCTGGATAAGGGGGGGTGCCAGGTCTGGAGAGCAACCTCGTAAAACTGAAGAGGTGCTCATTTACTGTTCATGTTACTGTCATGACTTACTGTGTGTTAATGTGCTCAAATTGGGAAACCTGTGTGCTTTTTGACCAGTCAGATGGTGGTGACGCAACTAGCTTGTGTTCGTCACGCTTTCGGCCCTGCGAGTAAGCGGCGCCGTGTCAGCGTGGTTACGGCTTGGGTATTGGCCCATATACTTGACGTCGGAAAACTGCCAATTTGTGGTACGGGTCGGTTCTTGGTGGCAGTGGAAAAGCCCCAAATGAGTCGCTTAAAGTGTTTGTCAATGTGGTCCTCAGCGACCCCGGGCAGTCCACGTTTTCGCTCCCTCCCAGCCCCCCGCCAGACTGTTTGGGGATCCCCGAAGACCACGTTCAGGAATGCTGGCTTGGGGTTTGGCCAGCAGTTTCACGTCACAGTTGTATGTAGCAAGCGCAATAATCACCAGGGTTTTCAGATGACTAGTGAAACATTTGTCCTGATGCCAGCTTTTAGGAACTAAACGGATGTTTACTTACGCTGACAATTCGGTAAGTAGATTAGTAGTGTGTCTGAAATATTAATGAGGCATATTATGACGCCCGACAGTTAGCAATCTGTATAAATTCAGCGTATCCTTATGTTTAATAAATGTCGGACTTTACGCTGCAGAAATTACCGCCATGCCACTACGTCTCTTTACCTTGTTTATCCACAATATCTCCTCTTTTAAAAAGATGTCCTGGATGCTGTCCCTTTCTTCACCGCCTATTCAGTGCATATCACTTCCATAGTTTACCAGAATAGTAGCATGTGGTGTGCTTCACTAACCAAATATCATAAACATAAGGATACAGCGAATTTATGCAGACTAACTTATGGGCGTTACAATGCACATCTCAATCTTTCAGGCACACTACTAATCTACTTACCAAATTGTAGGCATAAGTAAACATCCGTAAGATTCTGAAAAGCCAGCGTCTGGACAAATGTTTCATCCGTCATCCAAAACCCTGGCGATCATTGCGCACGTGCCATATAATCGTGGTTATGTTGCGATGTGATATTTTGCAGCCTTGCTTGGAATACGTATCTGGAGGTACAAACGACTGTCGTTCAGACTTGCCCCCCCCCCCCCCCCATCTTGCTTGCTCACGACTCTGCACTCTCGCCCCCTGCAGGCCCGCTTGGAGCAGAGCGGCAGCTGGGCCTGGTGCAACCCAGCGGACGGCGGCCTGGGAGACGCGCGCTACCGCTACAGCCTGACCACCCTGACAGTCCCCCACCGCTGCGTGGGGTTGGCACGGCGACGCTTCGGTCGNTGCTTGCTCACGACTCTGCACTCTCGCCCCCTGCAGGAGCACCATCTCCAGAGGGCCATCTCCGCGCAGCAGGTGTACGGCGAAAAGCGGGACAGCATGGTGATCCCCGTTCCCGAGGCGGAGAGCAACATCGCCTACTACGACACCCTCTACCCTGGGGAGTTCCGGATGCCAAAGCAGCTCATTCACATACAGCGTGAGTACAGCACGGTGCGGCCTAGGGTGCGGGCACCCGGGTTGCCCGCTACAAAGTAATGACTGTGCTGATGGTGTTTTTGACTAGTAAGAGCTGGCTGTTCCCTCATGAATTTGACTTCCCTGCAAAGTGCTGTGAGCGAACGCTTCTGCTGTGGGGGGGGGTGTCTGGCCCAGCGTCGGCGCCGGGGACAGGCTGGGAAGATGCCTCTGCTTTGGATTTGTCAGGCAGTGGGTCTCACGGAAGTGCAGAGCTTACAGTTTTGAGGTGTTTTCCGCTACGTTGCGTGTCATCGTGCTTTTTGTGCAGCTTCATGTTCGATGGTAGTCGTTCGTGTCTTTTAGTGTCAAGTTCCTCCTGCTAGTGAGATTTTGAATTAACTGGCGTTCACTATTTGTGCTGGTGTCCAGAATTGACTGAGCTGCATGCTGACCCTTTTTGAATTGTCTGTGGACAAGGTGCAGTGTAGATGGACACCGACAGGATTCCTGGTGTTCATGCGTCTCTTTTAATGACAGCAATCAATATAACAACTGAACTAAACATCAGAACATTTCGTTTTATAACAATTATCCACAAAGTGTGCGTCTTCGTTTAAAAAAACGCAGATATTTCAGTCTGCTTTTCAGGTGGTTGGCGCGACGTATTTTCCGACATGCGCTCTCTGTCCGCTGGTGGGGGGGGACTCCGCCACGCGCGATACAGAGAGCAGAGGAGAATTGTAAACGCGTGACCGTATAGACACAAAAATGACAAGCTGTGGTGTAAATAAGATAAATTGCTTAAGGCTATTTAGTTTGTTTAATACAAGGACAATGTATAGACCTGTTCTATAGGAAAGGTAACCTTAAATGACTTCTGTTGTGATCTGGCGCTATATAGAAAAAAATTTTAATTGACCTTCAAGGGGGGGCGGGAGGTGCCGTTGGGGGGGCAGCCCCCCCCCCCCCCCCCCCCACAGGGTCTTGCTGGACAGGGCACACTCGGACCTGGACCACGTGTTCCATGCACTAGATCCGGACGCTACCCCCCTCACGCCCCAGCCTCTGGACGATACGATTGCCAGTACCTCAGAAACAAATACCTCAGACAGAGCGGCCCCCGGGGGTCGCCAGCAGGTCTTGTTGAACATTAAGTCGTGCCGGTGGCGGTACTTCAGACCTCGGACGGCGAGGCGGGGTGGTGCGGACGGAGGAGACCCCTCCGGCGCTGGTAGAGCACCAGCGAGCGGACCTGGTTCGCAGGCCAGGACCGGACCCGGAGCGGCCCCCGTTGCCGGTGAGTCCTGTCGACCAGCTGCCTGGACTCCCTTGCTGTCCATGAGGGGAGAGGGAATCGCTTGATGAATCCAGCACCACGAAAATCGTTTTTTTTCAGCCAGAAGTCGACACTCCCAAATGAGAGCAGAATTAGAATTGTAAAAAGGGGCCTGCAAACAGTAATTGAAAAATGTCTCCATGCATGAAATTTAAGTCGTTACTCTTTCATTAACCCCTCCCCGAGCTCGTACGCTCTTGTCGATGTCAGCAGAAACGGGTTTGTTTGGGGGGGGAGGGTTTCTGCACCCATCAGTCATCTCTCCCCCGGATGGCGCTGAACGGCCCGCTTTGGCTGCGGCCTTGTTATTTATAAACGTGTAAGACGCGCCTGGTTATTCTGGGCAGCCATGCTGCTGGAATGAGGCGTTGTAAGCTCAGGGCCTGCAGGTTGTGTATCTGTATCTGTGTGTGTGTCTGTGTGTGTGTGTGTGTGTGTGTGTGTGTGAGTGATTCACATTGTTTTCATTCCTCATGGGGAGTCGTCCTACAGTGTCCCTGAGGTCCCATAGCCTTGCATGCAGCCTGTAAGGCTTGTGCGTTGCTGGACATTGATGCCAGGGCATGTTTATCTAGGAAGGAGCTGGGCAATACTAATCATTCCTCATAGCTCAGATCATTCGCTGAGGCTGCACTATTTCTTTCCATAGTGAGCAAGCAAGCATGACTCTTTCAGTGTGAAAGACTGTGCGCCCTCAGCCGAATGGAATGGTGGTTAGCTGCTGCCCTTCTAGCTGCACTCTGACCCCATCCCTGTCCCCTTGGCTGCCCGCAGCATTCACCATGGAGCAGTACCAGCAGCACCAGGAGCAGCTAGCGCTAATGCAGAGGCAGCAGCTGGAGCAGACGCAGCTGCAGCTGCAGCAGGCGAGCGCCGAGCCTCCCGGCAGTAACACGCAGGTTAGATCCCTTCGCCTTGTCCTGCGAGATGAACATCCGGGGATCTCTGTGTGGAACAGCGGCGGCTGGGTCTCGCATGCCAAAGCCTGTCGCTGCTTCACCTGAAACCCGATTACAGTTAGGTCCCCGAAGGCCGGGCACCATGGGAAATGTCTCCCAGCCTGGGGGAGCTGGTATCCCACCTGCCCGGCGGTGCCTCCCCTTACCTCTGGCCGTGTTTCCTGTCTGCCCTCCCGAATGACG